ATTATTACATGTAAATTTGATAGTATGCGAGTATAACTAATCTCTCTTTGTTGATAAAATATACAGTCATTGTCAAATATATTGCCTTGAATTTTTTTTCCTTTGAAAATGCGTAATATATGTTATAGAGGTTTAGTCTCGGTTTAATGATTATTATATCGTTAATGTGAAATAATTTTGTAATATCTTGCATAGTAGGCAAGATATACTATTTCAGAACTTTGAAGTTGCAATTTCTCAGACCACTAATTATTATGATAAACTGATTATTATGACTAATTATTATGAGCAAACATTATAGAGGCCTTTTTGTATATGTGTTCATGTCTGCTTTGAAAATGAATTTGTGTGTAAGTGAATTTCAAAGCAAAATTTAAATATCCTTATAAGAAGAACAGAATAATTTTTTTGATAGCAATAATTAATTAATTAATATATATGCACCACATTTTTTATATAAATAAATATTACATATGTTTGTGCAATTATGTTAAGATTAGTTATTTTATTATTCACTTAATGTATATATGTGTTGCACGGATTATAGTTGAGTAATTGCCGTATAGTATATACGTATAATATTCCAGATCAACGCATGTAAATATTATACGTGCTAATGGCTGTAGGAAACTGTTATTTCACCAGTTACAATATATACTGTCAGTAAATCACAGAGTATTCGAAAATATACATGAATCTATTATTAGTGTCCTTCGGGCTATCATCAACTGAACATCTAAATTGAATTTGTGTACAGAATTGTTGTGTACAGAATTATTATGTTCGCTCAAATAACCAGCATTATTTCTAAGTGAATATAACGATTAAAGTTAGTATAAATTATCAATTGCATAAGTATATTATATCCGATATAACTAAACGTCTGCGTTTAGTTAGAAAATCATACACAGAATATAATTATAATCAATTTTTTAAACCGAACATCTGCCATGTCTGTAAGAAGTCAAGTAGCCAAGACGAATTAATCACATGTGATTCGTACGGCATGGTCTTTTATTGTGGCAATGAGCAGCAAATGATACATAAAAGTTCGCATGTCTGTGTCATTATGGCAAACGCATGTCTGGAAGTCTGTGTCATTATGGCAAACGCAAGAACAGAAGATTGGGACGAGAGCACGTCGTTTTAACTCAGATGAAGAATAGAGGTCGTCTCGAGAGATATTTATGCAAGGAATTCAAATGAAAATATCACGTGATCTAAAGTCATACGAGATAGAGATGATGATGTGCGCAAAATTATGCCTCATTTGTTACCTACAGAGTAACCTACGAACCTGCAACATCTGCTATTCCGCCAATTATTGTGACAAACACTATTTAAAATTTCAAGAAAAACACAAATCTATGTGCACAGACTTACTGGTATTGTTGAACTTGAATATTTCAATTATCAACAACACTAACATAAAGTCATATTCACAAAAAATAAAGTTTTCCATAATGAAAATAGGTTTTGATGACATGTTTACATTTGCTAATATATACATTAAAAAATATAGAAAACGAAATTTAGAAACTTGGTCTGAGATGTCTTACATCTATTCGGAATATGTCAGCTTCATTGACACTGTATGACGAGTTAATGCAATTCGAACATTTACTTGATGTAACAGAAATTTATAAAATAGAAATAGGTTTACTAAACACCAAAATATCTCTTTATTGTACATATCATAGATGTGAGTTCAGTAGATATAACGGGTTTACCATCGTGGGAGCTTTTCATGCATTCTTGCAGTAAATATAGAAATTTTAGAATTGTAATTAAGGAATTAAGAGTTATATTGATAGGACCAGAAACAGATTGTGAGTGGAATGGATACTACAATGTTTGTTGAATATGCTGCAATTCAAATAAACAGCTTTATTTTGAAAATGCTTGTGTGTCATATGAGAATTGTATGCGCACAAATTTGTATAAGCAAGCAAATATCATTATTGCATCTCAAGCAGAGTTTAATGTGGAGAGTGCCCTGTTAGATATTTTCGTCGCAATACGAGATCGTAAATGTCCGTTTTTTTTCACCACATCATCACAAAATAAAGCAGAAGAAATCATAAATAAGATAAAAGGAGTTATGAGTATCCCTCAAGAAAAGTATTCCATAAGAAATAAATTCCGTAGTTTCAGGCCGTACAGAAACTACGAGACTGGGGGAATTTATTATCGTAATGTTCATTTAGTTGTGTTCTTATAAAGTTAAATAATACAAGCGAGACAACAATAAATTTGGTTAATTTATAACAGCGTTCTGAATTTGGGAAAGTTTCAGAGGCTACATTTACTTATTATAATTTATTTTTCCACTCCAACTCGCCGGCATGGCTGCGGGATTAATAATTATATCACTCAGACATAGCGCCGTTTGTATGGAGTTCAA